TCGTCGCTTAAAAAAAGTCCATAAAGTCATATAAGACTATCAAAACATTTACGGTTCATTCAAAGACCCAAAATTTATTATTCTTTATTGAGCCCTTTTAACACTGTTTAAACAAGCTTTTATATATTATTAAAATAAATTTATTTTCACAATTTAGCCCTTTTTTGACATTATTTATTTTACTTTAATTTATTTTTCATACTCATTTTCAATCAAACATTTAAACACAAAAATATTCTAAACGTAAATTCGAAAATTTTCTCTACTTTTTGACCACACATTTTTCAAAAATTATTATTCAAAATAATGTTTTAAAAATTTAAGGCCGTCAAACAGGGTCTTTATATAAAAATCTGATCTAAAGAAATCATGTTACGTCACTTATTTTTCACTCTAGATATCATAGAGGCGTGATTATTCGTTGTTCACTTTTCATCATTCGAATATTGTAACGTCAATTGCAAGAACTCAGATATTTTTGGTGTGCTATCTAAGCTTGAGCCTTAAGTAAAATAATGGTAGGGCACATTGATATTAAGGGAATAATTTATAATTTGGACAAAAGACAAAAAGGCAATGGAAAGATTAGATATTTTTTGTTCTGTTTTGGAAAAAATCTCAAGGGCTCAAATGTATGGATGTGAAATTTCCTATTATGTACTGCCGACTTTCGGACAAATCGAACCTACGAGTAAATCAAAAGTTGAATGTACACGTATCTCGTAAAAATTATAAATCTTACTACTGGATCGAGGGAGAGATGTAGCGCATGCATCGATAGCAGTGGACATCGAGGCTTCTCTTCTTTCTAAGGGAGATTATTTGGTCATTTTTGTCTTTCCTATTAGAAGCGTGAGAAGACCAATAAAGAAAGAGATAATTCAAAGGGCAACTACATTCTAATAACAAATAATAGTAATTGATATATAGACTATAGTTTTCGTTCATGTTTCTTTTGTTCACTTTTATGTAAGGGTGAACACAGTTTGATTTGCACCGTTTATAACAAAAAATTTAAAATTAAATCATTTAAAGTGATTTGAAATTTTCAAATTAAACCATTTTTTCGGTTTGGTTTGGTTTAAAATCACAGTTTATCAAAGAAAAAAAAAACCTATATCGAACAAATTAAATGATAAATATTAATCTAAGATTTCACATTAAAAATTACAAACCAAAGTTTCTATGATTATAATACAACAACATAATATTTTAACATCTTAGTCGATACTAACTGGCACAAACATCTGCATTTGTAACACATCATTCATTCTATTCACGAAGATAAGAATATAGTATATGAATTCATTGATTATACTTAAATGATATAAAATAACTTTTGGATTTAGAAAGATCAAATACGATAACACATTCTATAACTATTTATCAGTATAGTGAATATGATAATACTTTCATAACTAATTAGAAACATTAAATAATATAAAACAACCATTATCAGTATAGTGAATGGAGAAATCAAATACGATATTACTCCCTATAACTTTTTATGAATCACCAAATGCTTCTACCTCATTCAAATATTGACTAATTATTATAGAGTTTAGTTTTAAATGGGTTGTGTTTAGTTTTAATTGGGTTTGATAAAATATAAATTAATATTTTTTCATATTTCATTTTTTGTAAACTGTTTTGCGGTTCGAAACGATTTGCAAAGGTTGAAACATAAACCAAATCACTTCAAAAGGATGTGGTTCAGTTCAAAATTAAAACGTTGACGAATTCACGTGGACTTAAGTCAACGGTTTCAAAAAAGCGATTTCGATACGATTTTGCGATTCAAAGATTTCGTTATTCGGCCCAACTTTTATGTCACAAGACATTACTCATATGCGCGTTCTTTTAAGAAAAGAAAATTGTCCATTTCTGAAGGTCTCAAAGAATAAGAAAAAACGCGAGAACTCTCAAATAGAAATAGAAGAGAGTTCTTCGGAAATTGTTAATCTATCATTTTTTGATAGAAGCAGATGACAATTAAATTAAAATATGATCATTATTTTCATTTTGAATGATATGAGTCGAATTTTGCACTATGCAAATATCACAAATGAATTCTACTTTAACACAAATGATAATGAATCCAAAAGTACATGTGAATATATGAATTCATTAATCCAAGATTGTAAGGTTCTCCAAATGAAATAATGCTTGTTGGCGGCTAACATAACACAAATATACAATATAAAAAAGCCCCAAAGGGCAGCCTTAGAGAATATTCCTCCAGCATAATTCATGATCACTCAAAGCGATTCTATTGTCGATTTTGTACTGTAAAGAGAATTTTATATGCATATTTTTATTTAATTTCATCAATTTAATAACTGGAAAAGCATTGTAAAAGAATTGATAAGAGCCCAACTTTAAGCAAGCATCTCATTAAGTCTAAGGATGTCTTCTATAACAAAAATATCTAAAATATTTACTCGATTAAAACTAATTTTTAGTTGGTACAAATTTAAGGGCCTGTTTGGTACGGCTTAAAATCCAATTAAAATTGAAAATATAGCTGTTATTGGATCCCCCTCATCTAATAAAAATCAACAATAATTGCTAATTTTTCAATTTTAATCTGATTTTAATTTCTATCAAACACCCTCTAAGTGTCGAGTAGATTTTGATTCGAAATTGTTAGTTTGAGAATCAACATTTTAACGTTTTGTGAATAAAAGTAATTTATTGTTGTGTTGGTATACAATTACTAACCTTTTATAATATTATTTTCATTGGACATTAGCAATATTGTAAAATTTGTTTTAACTTTTATGAGAATATGAAATAATATCAAAAAAATAAATAAAAATTAAGACAATGTATTCATGGTAGTTATTTCAAAATGAAAAATAGAATATCTATTAAACTTAAAAACTATAAATTAGAAAATAAAAGTATAGTTCATATAATAGAAAAGTATAAAAATAAAACTAAATTACTTTTAATGCATCAGACTTGTAGACTATTTGCAATTTGGTTACTCAATTTATTTTTAGAATATTAATAAACCTAGGATAAAAATTGAATTAATTTAAGTAATTAGGGTTAAATTTATATTTTGAAGCCAAAAGCAAATTTTCAAAAGCTATCGTTTTGTCGCATCTCAAAATATGTTGTTAGATGCAATAAATTCTTCTATAATTAATTTTTTTTCTTTTAATTTGTCAAACATCTAAACAACTTTTGAATGTCTGAAATTAGAAATCGAGCTCTCAATCCCAAACATGGCCTAATTCTCTTTTCATTCTCGTTCATAATCTGAAATTGTGCTCCAAAATCAATTCCAAACGTACCCCAATTCTCGTTTCATTTCTCATTCTTTAAAAAATAATTAACACTCGATGTGAAAATACATCTGTGATGTAAATATAAGCAAAAATTGATTGTTAACAACCATGCTACATGGCCAGGGTCAATGACTAAAAAGCAAAAAAAGAGACTGATGTGGCAATTTTTCATTGGAGAATGAGAATAAAAATCATAAAAACATTCAATCATAGACTGCTACATCAGTCTGTTTTTTTCCATGTTCGTTCAGCATTATTGTATTAGATATGGCTCTACAAAATAATACATGAACTTCAATTTTTTTTTAATATTTTAGCCCACGTTTGGTGGCATTTCATTTGAAAAAAAATAAATAAATCATGTTTTAAATAATATTTTTTTGAAAAATGTGTGCTTAAAAAATAGGGAAGAATTTTGAATTTACGTATAGAATATTTTATCGTAAGAATGTATAATTAAAAATGAATATGAAAAATAACTTAAATTAAAAACCACCAGGCTAGGACTTAATGCTAATTCAATATGATCTATCGTCCAAAAATGGAATTAATTAACTTATTGAGTGATAGTCTCGTGAAATACAAGTGAAAAAATCAACCATTTCAAAATATTAGAGGCGACTATCAAAATGTGAACAATACTCGTGAGTCATAACTAGACGAGGCAAACATAGGCTAAAAATATCGAGTTCATGTATGATTATTTCACTTCATAATACAAATATCTTTCGGCGTCGGGTACTTGAGGTTGACATCCCTCACAAAGGCGATCCACCACGAGTTCTTTTATTGAACGTGGACAGCAAAATATTATCTTTTATTGTTGTGCACACGAGAGATTGACATTTGCTGTCAATATGCATGTACCTCTACGGAAAGGGGCACGCGTAAACTTGTTACAGGAGGAAAAGAGCAAGATTTGTAGTTGCATCACAACAGTACAATACGGATGAATTTGATCTATAAAGGGTTCAGAGCACTTGTTGAATTCATGTGAAACACGAGCAAATTCAATTTCATGGAAAGATTCATGAACCCCATTTTAATTTTAAGGTATTTGTTACCTATAATTCTACTCGAACACGCCTTTAATTTCCTTATATATTTCTCAATTCTCACGTTCTTGTGCTTTAACAAATCATACGAATCTGAAATATTAGGGTTCTTGGTGGTCCATTAGTGTTCTTATCCTTTTTGCTTATTTTAATTTAATGGGTAAATTTTTTTTTTTGTGAAGAATCTCGCTCAACACTTCTTATAGTGTGAATCTCAGTTTCTGAAATTCAAGATTTTTTTTTTTCTGGGTTTGTTTCCAAAATGCAAGATTCTTTTAATAGGGTATTTATAGAAGTTTCTTAGGGGATTCCATTTTTCTTAATTTTCTGTAAAATATCTGATAAAAATAGCTCTCTAATTTCATGTTTTTGAAGGTAACCTCAGTTTCCCCGAATAATATCTTGAGAATTTTAGTTCTTGATTTTGTAATTTCTGGGAAAGAATGATTGAATGGGTTGTTTTTGACTGAACCTCAAGAGTATAATTAAGTATTCATGGTGAATTTGGTTGTTCTTTTCTTCTTTTTTGACTATGAAATTGTGTTCTAAATAGGCTGTAGAATTGGGGTTGTTGATTTTTTGCTAAAACGCCCGTATTAGAATTTGTCTCATTTTACTTGAGGAAACTAGTTTTCTAAGTTTTGGAAAGATGGGGGATAAATTCTGGTTAAATGAAGAGGACAAGGCTATGGTGGAGAGTGTATTAGGCAGTGAATGTGTTGAGTATTTTGTTTGGTCCGCTTCAAATGAAGTGCTGTCGGAGTTCACTGTATCAAGTGGAGATTTAGGAGTGCAACAGGAGCTTTGCCGGATTCTTGAAGGGTCGGATTGGACTTATGCCATTTACTGGCAAGTTTCAAAATCCAGATCCGGTAAACCTGCCTTGATTTGGGGTGATGGACATTGTCGAGAACTGAAGGAAGGTGACAATAAAGGTGGAAATGGTACCAAGAATCAAAATTTAGCAGAAGAAAATAGGAAAAACCTAGTGCTTCAGAAGATTCGTGCTAGTTTAGGACGATCAGAAGATGATAATGTTGTGCCTAAGCTAAATCGGGTTTCTGATGTTACAATGTTTTATCTCATGTCAATGTACTTTGTATTCCCCTTCGATAAGCCATCCATTCCTTCTCAGTCATTTAATTCTGGCAGAACAATTTGGGTTTCAGATGAGAAAAGTTGTTTAGAATATTATCATTCAAGATCGTATTTAGCAAAGTCTGCTAATTTTGAGACATTAGTGTTTGTTCCAACGATATCAGGAGTCGTGGAGATTGGTTCCAGAAAGTCAATTCCCGAGGATAAGTATGTGATTGAATTAGCAAAATCTATGTTTAGGAATTCAAATTCGACAGAGACAAAAACATTTCCAAAATTATTTGGGCAAGAATTAAGTCTAAGAGGTGTCGTATCAGATCCAATCAGTATTAGTTTTTCTCCGAATGTGGAAGATATTTCCGGTTTTCCTTCGGAATCACATAGTATACAGACATTAGGAAGTAGTGGCCAAGTATGTGTAAACTCATCAAATGGGCATCAAATTGATGATGGTGAAGCAAAACAGTCTCCACATATAAACCAAAAAATTGTTGGGCAACCAAAATCACAAACTCAGCAGGATTTGTTTATTGAACCTGAAGTGCAGAAACCTAAAAAGAGGGGTCGGAAGCCGGCCAATGGAAGGAAAGAACCGTTAAATCACGTGGAAGCCGAAAGACAGAGACGTGAGAAGCTTAACCAGCAGTTTTATGCATTAAGAGCCATAGTCCCAAATATATCCAAGATGGACAAAGCGTCTCTGCTTGGAGATGCGATAGCCTACATCACAGATCTTGAGACGAAGATAAGGATCTTGGAATCAGAGAAAGAGACGGTGATCAACAGGCAAAAGTGGTATGCTATCCCAGAAATTGATTTTCAACCGAGGCATGAAGATGCAGTTGTACAATTAAGTTACCCACTGGATTCTCACCCCATATCGGGGGTTGTAATGACATTGAGAGAGCATCAAGTAATGGCGCAAGAGTGTGATGTGTCCATATCCGATGAGGCTGAGGTAGTTCACACATTCTCCATTCAAACACAGAGCGGCGCTGCAGATCAGTTGAAGGGGAAGTTAGCTGCTTCTCTCTTGAAATGATAGTGTCGAATATGTAAGATTTGATCGTTGATGTATCTTCATTTTTTATAATTGGAATGTCTCATAGTCGACGCATAGAAAGTGAGAATATGTTGCTGTATCTCCCTATTTGGTTCAGTGCTCTTGTAAAATTTAACTTGAATTTGTTTTAAATTTTTAGCTTTGAATTGACCTTTAATTTTTAGTTGGTGAATTTGTCAACTATTTTCTAATTGTTTAAATAACATTATAAAGAATGTTATTTATATTGTAAATGTTTAATAAAAATAGAATACTGATGCATAATATTAATAAATACTACCCATAATTTAAGTTTTTGATATTCAATTACTAGTCAACGGAGAAACAAGTGAATTATTTGTTTTTCCAATATATAAGAATGAGAATGAAAAAAAATAATGTGGCTCAAACATGAGCTAAATATGTATTTGACAAAAAATAATGTAGCTCAAACATGAGCTAAGTGTATGTTTGACAAAACAACCGTGCTGCATGTACAGATGTTCTGCTTCACAGAACCTCTACAGACATCACACAACAGGAGGACGGGAAAAAATTTGAACCATTTTTTAATCAGGTCAGTCCGACAAAAATTTGAACCATTTTTTAATCAAGTCGGTCCGACGTGAGGCCCACCTCATGTGAGAGTTCGGTAAGACATCTGTGAGCGCCATTTATGTACACTTGGATTAATTCTTGACAAAATGTCAAGACCAAGATGGCTTGTGCAATTGAAGGTCATGATCAAAGTCTATATGCAAAAATCGAGGTCTTCGAATTTGGGTTTAGACCAAAGATTCTAAGTACTTGTTTGAGAGGGATTTTTGGGGAAAGAATTGATTTTGAATAGTGATATGATGGAAAATGTGTGGTTGAAAAAGAAGAAAAAATTATTGAAGTGATGGAAAATATTATTTTATTAAAAAATGTGTTGTGAAAAATGAGAATTGATTTACTGTAGAATTTTGAGAATCCCCACCAAACATGGCCTAAATATGTTCTTGCAAACATGAAATCCAACGCAGTACAAAACATATATGCTGCCTAAAGAATATTTCTAAATACGAAACGAGGTATATGAACAAAGTAAAATACTTTTAAAACACGAGCAAATGATTTGAAAACTTCTCATCATTGTTTTCAACGGAAGGGAAATTTTCGAACAAATAAATTTAGTCCAATTGCTCTTAAATGAAAAAATTTAATTAGATGTATTTTTCAAGAATCCTCATTAGTGCATACGTTTTTTATTCAAAGTTCTCTGTTAATTTCTTTCCTTTTTTCTTGTATGGATCTAAAGAACTTCCCTTCTGATAAAATACGTTTTAATTAAACACAGATTCCGAAAGATAAATGGAAAAGTGAAAACAAATTTAATTGCCACAACCCTAGCAATCATGGCAAAAACTTCTTCATACACTCAAAATCAGCAGGAAATTTTTTTAAATATTCCGAAAGTACAATTACAAAATAAATCGAGAAAAATTGAATTCTGGAATATAGATATACAAATTGGTTGAAGATGTTTTTTTTCCCCCAAACTAAATGAATCTCAATTAGCTCGGTGAAGATTGGCGTACCGAACAAGCTACAATTTGTGCCCACTGCTTCAATCTCGTCTTCACAATCGCGGGATCGTCATCTATTGAAATTCAAAATTCATAGCAAAAATAGAAAAAGAAGAATCAGAATTACATTAATTATAAGACAAATTAAAAGAATATCTAACAACGTGATTAAGTGGAGGTTACCAGGATCAATAATAGAGCTATGGCTTCCAACAGATGACACGGAATCGCAATCAGAAAACGACGAAGAAGAAGACCGGGACAAACTATTGCTGTACTGCCGATTTACAGCATGGTAAAACCCTAAAGCTGGAAAAGCAGATGACAATTTCGGATCCAAATCGGACGAGTCAAAGTTAAATCCCAACTCAAAGCACCCTCGGAGCTCTTCCAAATCATCGTCTGTAACACTGAGTTTACCGCGCCGCATCCGATAATTTCTCTTCCGATTAGTCCACGCCTCCTCTCTTAAAGTATCTGGGGACCACGAACTCTGCTTGCGCAATGGCGGAGGCGCTCTGCGTCGTACTGGTTCTGATTCAGACANAATGGCGGAGGCGCTCTGCGTCGTATTGGTTCTGATTCAGACATTAGAACCCGCCGCAGTACGACGCGGAGAGAGGGTTTTCGTTCCGCGTTTTTTACTTTTCTGTGGGAGAGGACGCGGGGTGGTAATGGAATGTTATATATTTAGCCCGTGTTTGACAACTCGAAGGTTAAAACTTTTTTTGTTGCATACTCATTTTCGACCACACATTCATAAAATAAAATATTCTGCACGTTAACCCAAATCTTTTTCCTAATTTTTAACAATACATTCTACTAAAAAATCGATATTCAAAACTTTATTTTACCTAAATAATGATTGCCAAACAAAAGCTTAAAATGGGAACAGATGGCGATTGAGTTGTATTGTGGTTAGTCATGTTTTTCGAAGAATCCCATCTACGACTTCATTTATAATCCGTGACTTGTAAAACATCATGTTCATTCATTCAACAAATTATTTTTAAAATCGATGGCCGAAATCTTGACAATACATAAATTGTCAAAATAGTTATCAACAAAAATTGCAGAACTAACCTTATTATTAGAATAATGTTATTTATCACCATCATGATGGAATATCAGCGATCATTTAAGTGGAATAATGAGATAGAGCAGTCCACCCCACCCCACCCCTCTCTCTCAAAATTTGAACTTCTTATCACATTATTCCATTTATATTGTCATATCATCGATATTCCATCATTATAATAATAAATGACATTGTTCTTATTTATTGTTAAGTATTACAAGGTTGAGTAGGAATATGGAAAGGAAAAATTCATTTGTACAGAAATCAGTTTTCAGAAATTCACCAGAATATTAATAATGAGTGGGCCCCAACATGTATTTAAAAAAAAATGTGCGGGACCCACATGTGTGTTTTCTGTGAAATTTCTGGTGAATTGAATTCTGTTTGTGAAGCATATCTCGTATGGAAATGGCATCTTTTAGAATATATGGAAGGTTCGCTGAGGGGCCCGGCCACTGCAATTGCCTTATTTTCCTCTGCTATCAATTTTATAAAATAATCAATGCAAATTTTAAAAACATAAATTGGTTTCTTGTTTCAAATAATTGCAAACAGGTCACTTGTGAATTAAAAAAATATATATAATAATAATAAAATCCAAATCTCTATTTGAACTTTAAATAGTTATATTATCTTCGTGAAATCATCTCTTTTCGAGTTTATAGATACTAGCTCAAATTGAAAAATACAAAAACTAATATTATTTTCAGGACTCTTCAAAAACATTTAATCTCTATTGATTATCCCGTTATTTGTCACAACCCGAGCATTAATCCGGAGGATATGTTCCCATCAATTATGAACTTCCCTCCTCGGTCAATGTACCTCAGGCATGATGGTGTTCGAGCACATGATATGACATCCCATAATCATAGACCTCGTCGGGATGTCTCCTCGAGAATTATGTTTGTCCGTTAGCTTGGGACATCCTTGAGATCGTGCCT